CCGCCCCCCGCCGCAACTGGGACATTTTTCCCATACTTTACCTGAGTTGCTTCTGCCTGAGATGATAAGTGCTGTCCAGCAGCTTCTCCTGCATCAAAAGGAAGGCCAATTCCTAAGCCATCTACAGGCTTAGAATGCTCCAGCTGACTGATAGGAGTTGCTTTGCGATGAACTCGCTGCTGAGGCAAAGGAGGCAAAAATCGTGCAGGAACTAGATTGTCATCAGCCTTAGTTTCTTGTTTGTTTTCATCTTTTTGTTCAGTTGGGGTATCTAACTGCCCATGATAAATTTCAGAAAATAAGTTTGGAGGTGCAACAACACCACTTTCAAGTAAAACATCATGAAGTTTTTGAGCCAAGTTAGGGTTCTCCTTAGCAGCATCAATCATATATTGGGAAACATCTTTGACTTTCATTCTACGCACTGCAGGGGAACTGATCCCTTCAGTCCAAGAAGGAGATCTTCCATGCATATAAGGATAATTAGGTCTGCTAAGGGATTCCTTCACTGTCATGTTCTCTGCATAGGGGTTACTTTTTGATTCAATTGATTCTTTCCCTGCATAGGCAAAATGCTTTGATTTATTTTCCTTATCCAGAGTCACAGGCTCTGAAGTTTCTTCAGATGAACTTCCAACCCCACTGCTGAACGATGCTATACGAGACAAATCAAGCTCTCTTGATGAAGGACTGGCTGCAAGGGAAGATCCGTCGCACTCAATGTGTGATCCAGTTGCATCAGATGGAATAAGTGTTCCAGGAGCTGCCATTAGATCAACAATGTACTCCCTGAAATTCATATCAATCACACTTCCTTATACATAATAACAAGTCTCCGCAACTCCTACTTAAGAAAGTTACAAAAAGAATGAGAGAATATTCAGCTACAGGCAATATTAAATGATTAACTGAAAAAATGGACAACATGATACAACAGGAAAGGCTAACCTAGACAAAAGACTAGTAATATAGCACAACTTCAAATGTGCAACAATATGAGTATTGCTGAAAGAAAGCATCGAGTAACAAGATTTCATGTATATTCTACTCATATTGAGTGTTGCCAATAGAAAACGAGTACGAATTTGTTTGGATAAACTTCTTTAAAAACACTTATTGAAGAAATTATGAAGGAATAGTGAAATAAGTTTCTCTTAAAATTAACTTATACATAAGCTAATTTATAAACTCTATCATATTAACTTATTCAAAAACTTAATTTATGCATCAGTTAGTTTTAGCTTATAAAGAAGCTTTTTTCATTTTTCTTTTTTATTTTCTTCTCCTATAAGTGTTACTGTTAATCAAAAAGTTTATCTAAATAGATTCTAAATCTAATGATTTGAGGATAAAAATCTTGTTTCAATGTCCATTAGAACAGAACTATAAAAAGGGCATAGTGTATGAACTCCCACTCAGTAGAGTCTAGGGAGAGTACATAGATGTAAGCAATCTTACCTCAGAAGAATATATAAACCAAATAATTATGCTGGCTTGCCTATACCACAAAATACAACTTTAACAGTACTTACCTTCCATCATCAATTTTGACAAAGTTCATTGCCACATCATCGGAACCCATATACTGCAGTCCTTTCACCAATCGGCATGGGATGCCCAAACTGTCAGCTAAAACCTACATCAAATACAGAGCAATATAATTTTATTACATGAATTATGGAAGTTTTCAAAAGAGTGTGACAACAATCACATAGCATACAGTAGTCCCAACTGTTGATTCTCTTAATATAATGTTATTCTGTTTTGGTTTAAATATAACCGTAATTAATGTTACTAGAGGCTTACATCAACCAGACCATTCTTCATTGAAATGTAAACAAGAAAAGAGAATGTGGGGAAAAGTACCTTGAATAACAATGCACGATGCCGAGCCAATCCAATGGTCAGTGAACCAAGTGGCAAAACCATGCTACCTAGGGTTGCTTTTAGACTGTAACTAAGACTGCTCCATGCTCTTGACATGCTTTCGGGATCTTCAACTGATCCACCCATATAGTCTGCCACAATCATTGCAAGCTTGTGTACCAAATTACTTACTTCAAAATCCTTTCTTGAATTGGCTGCCATCTCCATGGCTTTTTGTTCAAGTTTCAACAAATTGGAATCAGCAGCCCTATTGACCAAGACTGCTTCCCATGTGACATCATCTGGGGTTGTTATTCGTTGCAGATCAACAAGAGAAGGCATTCTTGCAGATGTTGACTCGGTTAAGATCCCATACAGATCATAGAAACCATCTGAGATTTTGTCATCATAACCAAGAGCGTTGTAATTCTGTGAAGCACGGATAAATCTACGATATGAGATAAGTCAGAAAGGAACATAAAGTAAGACATAGTACAGTTAAGTAACTAAGTGATATAAAGAAAGTTAGCTTTCATGCATCATTTTCTTAATCTATTCAGCATCGTTAACTCTGAAGTTAGTTTCCCATATCTCATACCAAGATGTCAACCAATTTTCATATAAGTCCAAAATGCAATTACTTAATGCATCTCAGCTGCAACTGCAGTATCCCTTTTCAATACATATTAGCCATTATAAAACTTCAAGAACAAATATGCTGAGTGATATTGGAAGTTCTAAGTTCCAACCCAACAGCACTGTTCAGAATGCTATGGATATATTTAATAATGGCAAAATTCTCCCAACAATCATGATTTTCTATCCAAGTCATTTCACACAGATAACAAAGTTAAAGAAAAAAACTACATGAGTGAGGTCAAATGCAAATAAAGAGTCCAAGATCCTTTCCTTTCATCCCCCTCCCTCCCCTCTCTTCTGCAGGCTTTACACTCATTCAGAATATGAAAATGAAGCACCATCTCTGCATCAGAAATTCTTTAACCGTTGCATATCTCTATTTGTAATAGATGATACTTTTGTTTTGGTGGCACCCTCGTGAGTGCAACAACAAGAACGTGACTTCAACCTTTAAGTCAAGGACTAACAAAGTGACTTACCCAGTAACGGTAGGCCACAACTTCAGCTGGTGTATTATCAGGGTCACAAGGTCCCAAACTGATCTGCTTAACAGCTTCAATCTGTACAGCCTCAGGATCCTCCTTTGCACTCAGCTCCAAGGCCAGTTGTATCTGATATTCCTCTTCCACTTCAGGATCCCTCGAAGCGCTAGACTCCGAATCACGCCTAGCTGAATCAAACACAACATCCAAACCACCACTGCTCACTGAATCATAAGGCTCCATTCTTTCTCCTCTAGCCAGGTTGGGAGAAGGAGGACTGGCACTCTGCCTATTAGAAACTGAATGTAACCAATTTGAAAGCTTCTTAGGGGTAGTGGATGAAGATGAACCATCACTGGACTTGTTGCTCTTTGATGAAGTAACCCCTTGTGCATCTTCTGATTGATTAGACATGATATGAAGCTTCTTAAGAATGTTCTTCATATCTTTTCCTTGAGCTAGAGTACTGAATGCTAAAGAAGTGGAAGCCTCTCCATTGAGTTCTTTGACCAAGCATGAATCTCTCTAGAGTCTCAAAGAATGACCTGTTGGTACCTAGAAAACTATTCAAAGAACCCCTTTTTGGCAAACAGCTCCTAATCCAAAAAACCAAGATATTCCAATCCAAAAAACAGCTCCAATCAACAGGCTTTGCACGTTTCCAAATCAAGGCGATCCAGATGGTTTGAATTGAACTAGAGCAGTCTCCTACTAACCAGACAAGATTGAAATATTCCAAAAGAAACACAAACAGATGTTTTATACCATTCACCACCTTTAGGAAGCAGGGAAACCAAAATCACTGAGCCCCCATATGGAGAAAGAATGGATCTTTGCTTCTGTGTGCGGAAGGAATCAGAGCACAAAAATGGAAGAGACAAGAGAGTTGTGAAGACAGCAACATTAAAGGGCAGAGGCTAAGACAGCAGAGACTAAGAGCAAGTGGGAAGAGGTAGGGGCCACAAAGCATGACCCACTTGACAAGAGAGAGGGGTCACAAGTACTTCACAGTCCCAGAGAGAAAATTAAAGGGGAACATGGTGGTGGGACTGGGAAACATTGAAACAAACACACAACATAACCAACTTGCTTTCTCTTCTCTTCCTCCTCCTTATCTCGATGTTTGTGTGTGTTTTGAGGAGTCCCAAAAAGAAGTGGTGGTGCTGGTGGTGGCATGAGTTGGGTTCTTGTGGTGAACTGGTCAGAAATGGCATATAGAATGAACAAGTTGGAAAAAATAATGTGGTTGCTTTGAGGTTTCACCTTTTGCTATATCAAGCAAACCCAATCTTTGTCCTTTGTGTTAGGACAAAATGCTTTCAAGTGGAAGTGGCAAAAAAAACTCACTTACATGTGCACCCTCATCTCATCTCATCTCATATCTACTACTTGAGTAGCCCGCACTCTGCTCCCTTCTTTTAATGCTCACTTCAATACTAGACTAACTCGCGGATAACGGTATCCATTATTACCCCTTCTTCTTTTTTTGCCCTTTTCAACAAAATGTGTTTGCTACACTGCTAGTGCTACACAAAATGATAGGTTAAAAAATTGCATGACAGCATTGTGGTGGAGAGTCGACTAGACTTCGTACTATTTCACCTTTAGCTATTACGCACCATTAATACTTTTGCAGAATCAGTTTTTTTCCATTTATTTCAATAAATATTCCTTCTTCTAGTGGAGTCATATAGTAGGGATGATTAAATATTAATTTACCTTAAACAAAATACACATTTTTTTAGTATTTATAAATATGGCCGTTTAATTAAAAAAATCATTTTTTGCAAACCTAAGGTGTGATTCAGTAATTTTTCTAATTATAACATATTCTATAAATTATACATAATGCTACTCAATCAAGTAATGTTATTACGGCTCACAATACTCGAATATAAGTGAAGTGATTATATGATAACTCTAACAAGGCAACAACGATTCCTATAATAAGTATTGATATTATTTTAAAATATGAGTTTAATTTTAACGATTCCTATAAGAATCAAAAATCATGTATTTTACTTGAAAACTTCACCGCAACTGATCCTAATCTTACTTTCACCATGATTTTAAATTCCTTTGTTTTCAACTCAAGAATAATCTTTGATATTATTTTAAAATATAAATTTAAATTTAACTTAATTTTACAAAATTAATCTATAAAGTAATTATGTCTCTCTGTCTTATATACATTATTTTAATCATATCACTAATCTAATATTTAATATTTTTCTAATTTTTTAAAATGTGAACTAAAGACAAAGATTATAGATGTAAATTATATAAGAATAATGATTTTTTTAAGACATTTTTTTGTCTTTAATAATCGGAATGTAACTCATTGGTTTGAAATCTCTAACCAATAAAATGTCTAATTTTATTATATTTGACTTTATTTTTAGTATTCTTAGTGAGATGGTAAGAAAAAGACACGGAAAAAGTCGCACATAAATCAGTATCATAAATATAATAGAATACATAGTGCGATGTATATATTTGCATTAATTTTGTGGTGGGATTCAAAAATAACGTATTTTACGTAAGAGTTCCACCACAAGCAATTGTAACTTTGTCTTCACCATGATCATTATCTACAAATCATGTCCTTTCAAACATGCGCTAAGTAGTTTAGCAAAAGAAATAGACTATATTACCCTTTTATTAAAGAAAAAAGAAAGAAAAAAACAGAGTTGATCATATTGTCTCCTACAGCATCAAGCATGCTTGATAAAAATGAAGGTGCAATCCGGTATTTATTTCTAGAAAATGGTAAAAGATTGTCTCATTTCTATCTTTTAACTCCTAGGTTATTTTTTTCCGCTCCGAAAATAAGTAAAATAATAATAATAATAATTAAAAATAGTTAATATTTTATATTAATTTTATTTTAAAAAATAACTTAATTTCTTAAGTCAATCAACACATGCATAAATGCTTAAAACACTCTCAGCATCATCATCTCAACATTCAACAATTATTCATCTATATGTATTATCACAACTCAATGATTATAGAACTCACGATATTACACAATATACAACACGTCATAAATTCACCTAATATACTCATGTTCACCTCTTAATCATTCAAACAACAAGTTTTCATAAGGAAGTTTGTGCCCAATGTCAAACACCTTTCACCTGAGAGACAAGTAGTTCTTTGTCTCGTCCATGCATGATGTCATTCAACCTGCATCTAACATGGATGAAGTGGAGAACTCCTGGACTCTTACACCTAGGATATGGCAAAGTCCACACCCGACCCCATTTTAAGCGAAGCCACTTTGCCTGACTCATGATTGACATCACTCCATTAGTATCGGACGTCAATCTAGGCAAAAACGATTTTTTCTCTTCAAGCTTGGTGTCATTCAATTTGACGGTTGTTGTGATTGAATCAAAAGCAATTCTCTCTCTTCACATACAGTGCCACCAATCCGGATTTGAGCCACATCCGACATCATGAAGGCGTGTTTGACATGATGGTGAATTTTGCACATAGCAAATTCATGAATTGACTCAATCTATACCTAAAACTCATAAAAATTCACATGCAATGCACCAAAACATATCTATACATTGTCAACGACTCATACAACAACAATTCAACATGAAGTCATCATTTTGATCAACACCAACTAGTTCACCATAAGCATGCCTTAAAAGTACCAAAACTTACACAACTTCAATCATCCAATCTGAATCTAGCCAATATAATAACTTTTAATGACAAACAATCAACATGCATCTCAAATGACTTGAATCTAACTTCATAATCAACATGCAATTGAAAATCATCCTTTTTCACCAAATTTATTTCTTGAAAACCAAAAACATCAAAACTTAATAATCAACTTCAACCTATGCAAATCAACAACACCATTGCATCCATTTAGCACCTAATTAACGCAATACAATTCAACAAAAATTCAATATAGTTTCTCTTATCTCAAGATCGAAGTGAATGAGGAGGTGGAAGAAGAAGAAGAGGAGGAGGAGGAGGAGAAAGAATGCCTCCAAGCTAATATTGAAGGTCTATGTCACATCATCATGATGATGATCCTCAACTACGAGCTTCAAAACACCACCCAAACACCCAGTCACGATCTTCTACACACTCAAGAAAGCTAGAAAGGAGAAGAATGAGAATTAGAATCTCAAAGTTCCTCTCTTTAGTATCTCTCTAAAGTTCTTTGAGATGAGTTTACAAGGTTCTAGTCTAAAAAAAAAAAAACATTACATATCTTTCCCTCATGGTTAAACTTGACTTATACTTAAAGAAACCTTCTAAATACCTAAAAACTATTTAGAAATTTATTAACTCCCAAAGTCTTTCAACAATACTTGCTACATACTACAACACATAATTATTAAGAGAAAATAACAATAATCAATGAAGATGTATAGTGTTATACAATCTAACCATAAAAATAAATTACAATTTAGTTTGTATTGATTTTAGTGTACAATATTAAATATGATTTAATTCAATCCAATTAAAAATAATTTAAAGCACAAATAATTTTAAAATTATATGATATCACAATAAAAGTTAATGTAAAATATGTTATCACATCCTATAAATATTAGTCAAAACAAACTAAAATTCTTTAAACACCTCCCAGTGAGACATAATTAAGATGACGAAATTATAAAAGAAAAAGTAAATTTACCTTACTATTTTGTTTGGACTTCCCGGGTCTACCCAAATGAGTTATATACCTAAATTTTATACAATAATATAAGTTTATATTGTTTAGATTCCTAATTTATTGATCTAAATTTATTTTTATTGAATTAAAAGTTTATATTTTTAATTTATATGAAAATTTAATCCAAAGAAAAAAAAATGCTCAATATTCTTTTTCTGAAAGACGCAAGGTTAAAAAATTCAATTTATTTTAATTGACATTATTACATTTTAATTTCAAATGGTATCAATCAACATTGGTTGATACAAGATAACAATTTATATTTTTTAACTAAATTATTTAGGATTCAAAACTTGACATTTGATCTCTAATAAAGATTAGTTATTACTTTTAATTTGTAATGACAGCATAAATTTTCAAAAAGAATTTCAAATGATATCCAGAAGTGCTTGCGGGATTTTTTTTTTCCATGACAAATATGTAATATACGATTAGAATTAGAAGTAGAAATTTTATAGCAATTTGAGCAGCTCCCAAATCTATCAAATTTAAGATATTTTTTCTTATGTTGCGAAATACCCAAGATTAATAAATATACAAATATGAGTGTCAGCTATATACTCAAACAAAATGGAAGCGATATGTATGTGTATGCATAAATAATAGATTAGTATATGGTAGAGTCTATAATTTAATAAATTAGTTACTTTAGTAGTAGATACATTATCGTATTCTAAATATTCAAACTCATAATTTTATGAGAGTTTAATAATTATGCATAAAATAATTTTATATTTTCAATTGATCACAAATTATTAATTTGATATAACTTTTAAAATTATTATTGTAAAAGTTATAAAAAAAAACTTAATATTAATGAAAGATTCAAAACTCTATTAGAAGGGGTTGGAACTTTTAAAAATAAATAAGTAAATATCAAATTATAATTGTTAAATACATCATATTATTTATCTAACTTATAATTTATGAGTATCATTTTTTAAATAATAAAATCATCAATGATATAAATATATATATATATAGTTTTTTAATCAATTTTATAATATAATTATGTATTTAATGTAATAAATATATTTTCTTATTAAAAAAAACTCTAAGGGCCAAGGTTCCGACTTGTCTTTCGTTAGATCCGTTCTGCTTACCATATATAATAATTTGGGATCAGATAAAAGTATAAAATTATTGTGAGTGTGTAACTTATTTTTTTCATATCCTAAAAAAACTTATTTTCTCGTTTTGTAAATATCTATTATACAAATATGAGTTATATGTCAACTTTCGAAATAAAATTACATATATGAATACAAGTTTGATTTAGATTAGAATAAATTGAATTAAATTTTAAATTTAGACCTGAAACTCAATCAAACATAATCAAAAATGATTTTAATTTAAACAATTTCTAGCTTAAACGGTTTTCAAATTTTCGGCTTCGATTTTGACAATTTAGATTGAATTAATTTAATATTTAAAGTGAAGGAAGAAAAAAGTGAGGAGGTAGACGTAAGCTCTTACTTTGATATACAACATTTATTTCTGCTTCATTGTTGACCACTAATTCTATTGGCCACAACTTTCTTTGATACACACCCCAAAGTCCTTCCTCATCATGGACAATGACTTATCACCCAATTGTTGACATTAAAACTCACACATATATAAAATAAGTTTATTAAAATTTATTTAAAATAATTTTAATCTTTTAAATAAAAATAAAAAAAGTGTTAATCCCAATTCTATACGAAAATTCAACTCCAATTTCGTAAGACTTATTCTTCAACTCAAT